GGTTAGGAATAGTACAGCTGTCTCTGTTCCCCCTATCCCACTCCCTGCTCCCCTCCCTCATCTCCCCCTGCCCTGTCCTTCTCCCCGTCCTCCCTCTCCCCCTGTCCTCTCACTCTCCCTGTCTCTCTCCCTGCTCTCTTCTCTCTGCCTGTCCTCTCTCTCCTCGCTCCCCTCTCTGCCCATTCCCCTCCCTACTCTCCCTGTTCCCTTCTCTCCCTGCTCCCCACCTTCCCCGCGCCTCTCCAAATTCCAAGCCTCGAAGATTTCCCCCGTTTCTCTGCGGATCTTCCCAGCGTTTTGCTCGGGGGTCAGTCCCTGCTCCAGTCGGTGTTTTCCTGCGCGGCTGCTGCTCCCGGTGCTGGGTGTAGATGCGAGTTTGTTGTAACTCCTCTGCCTGGCAGATTGTCTGCACACGCAGTGGTTTAAAATGCATATCCCCGAGCTTAAGGGTGGACAGGAGTGGTGCTGCTAACAGCTGTGAGATGGTTTGGTGGGTGTTCTTCCTCCCTGGAATAAGAGTGGAAATGTTGGTGCCACGTGCTGCTCTCATTTGTTTGTGTTTCTCGGTATCACGGGCTGTGTTTGGGGTACTGGTGATGGTCTGTAATCTGCTCTTGTGAGTCTCCTGAACTGAGCCAGCTGCATCAGGAATGAATGATGGCCAGGAAATGCTTCTTCCTTTCATGCCGAGCACAGGAGACTGATCAGGTTTCTGTACTGGAGGATGGTTTTTGCTGATCTGTAGTCTGCAGGAGGCAAAGTAATTTTCTCATTTTCTCCAGTGGATTAATGTGGCTTTGGTCATTTTGAAAACCAGATCCAGCAGGACTTTTTGCGGTTTACAGCTCTTTGTGGGAGCTCTTAGGCACCCAAACAACGACCTGAGCTGCATAACTTCCATGTGCTTCTTTTTGTGTGCATTTTCATCCCTGACTTTGTGTTACCTCATAGTTTCATTCTAAGGCTTCTTGCACATTATTTAGAATTTCGATGTAAACTTTTTTAATCTTTCGCTCAGCATGAGGTGTCCATTTGCTTTTGACCCAGTTCAGGGTTGCGAGGAAAATTAATACTTCCCATTCCAGTTGTGGTTACAGTAGTAAGTTTTGTCTGTTTAATAATAAAGCATTATTTTATTTTGATTTCTTTTTTGCTTTAAAAGCTTTTCTTGAAGTAACTATGCTATTTTTTAAGTACGTTATATAACTTGTATAGACAGTTCTGCCAGCAAAAGCCCCAAAACCAATACACTTTATTAAAAATGTAAAATAAACACAGCAATCTGGGGATGCAGGACCACATATGTGATAGTTAAACTTTCCTAGCAATGGACTTCTCACTGTAGATGATATCTGGGTTGTACCTTGGTGCTTACACTGCGGGGTGGCTCTCAGGAGTCCAATCTGTCCTAGGTTTAGGGCTCCTGAGTTAACAAAAAGTGAAGTTAAAGGCAGTGCAAACTCTCAGCACCTTTACAGTGGCCTTAGCATCATGTTGCTTTGTTAGTGTCCCCTGAGATGGGCAGACTCTCACATACTCTGCATATGTCAAGCACCATGAAACTTTTGCTGGGTTTTATCCTGCTGTGAATGCATTTAATAGGAACTCTCTCTATTTCTTTATTATACCTGTTCTATGACAACTTGGTTATAATGAAATTGAGATGTACAACTCTTATTTCTTGGGAATTTTCTTGTGTAAATGGTGGCAGTTTTCTTGAGGATGGGCAGTGTTTGTAGTGTCCTTGTGTGAGTGTTCCTGTTCCAGTGTGCTGGAAATTGTGGGAATCCATTGTGTGTATGGAAAAATGGCTTTGAGATATGTGGGGACTCATGATGTGCTGAGGCTGTTAGAATCAGGAAAGAAAACCCAGAAGCAGCACTTTGAAAACTAAGCCCTTCCCCAGAACCTTCAGTATTTAGTAATTTTGCGCTGTGTACTCTGAATCCACAATACTTGTGTCTGACATGGGATTGAAAATTTTATTACAGCTGAATTTGGACACCTGTTGCTCATAGCTGTATAAAAATGAGTTCACAATTGTGGACTTCTCAAGGTCTGTCACTTGCTATCTAATCTCTGGTTCAATTCAAAAGTAAATACTGAACCAAGTGTAAAGATTAACACTTTCACTTATGTAACTGGAAATCAACGTATAATAACAACAAAATATGTGTTCTGCAGGTTCAGGAAAACTCTCCAGCTCAACAAGGGGGACTGGAACCTTTCTTTGATTTCATCATTTCCATAGGACACACAAGGCTTGTAAGTCTCAAATGATTTAAATGTTACTTTTTCCCTGCCCCTGCAAGAAATGTGGGTGTTGTGGTGATGAAAAGCCAACACAGTCACAGTAAAAGTTTTTCACATTGAACATTGTATGTGGCATTAAAAGTAAACTGAAACTTGCTGGTGTTCAGAGTCTCTGGCTGTATCCAAATTCGAGGAAAGATTCTTATGTGTGCCTTTACTCACCTTAACTTCTTAACAAGTTAACAGTGTTTATACTATTACTCATTCATACGTATTTTCTGCCACAAGGTGCATATTGAACTGGTGAGTCAATAGTAAGAACTCAACATTTGTTTAAACAAACTTGTTTCAACATTTGATAAAACCTGAAAAAGAATCGTGGCCTATCTGGTTATTCTTTAGGACTGGGAACACAGTTCTGTATACTGAGTTATGAGAGAAAGGCTGTTTCAGTTAGTTGGGTTTTTGTTTTGTTTAAAAGTCTCAGAGCTTTGCCCTTATGTTTCATGCTATCCACATACAAGCTGAATTCATCAAGTTTGTCTTGCTTTTGAGTGGAGATGGCCTTTTGCAAGTGATGGTCATAATGGTAGATTTTGGTGGAAGATCCCTTGATCTTTTCAAATGACAGAAATGATGATGGTTCTATGAGCTGTTCCCAAATTGTCCTTTCCCAGTTTGCAGTGACTTTGAAGGGCTGTTGAATAAGGCCAGGGCTCAGAGATGTTAGACTACACAGCTGAGAGCTAATACTGCTGATATTATTGAATGGCAGTTGTAAAGGACAGGAATGCAAGTGCTGAAACAGAGTAATAGCAAGCACTTAGGTAAAGGGATGTGCTGACACTACTGACTGCTTCCTCATACAAAAAAAATGGAACCACTGTGAACCACAGAGCCTAAACTTTGACATTTTGGGGTCTTTGTATTCAAATTCTGCAGGTGCAACTGGAAATAATGTTAATCCTGTGTCTCCTTCTGTGCACTACAGAATAAGGAAAACAATATGTTGAAAGACCTGCTGAAGGCAAATGCTGAGAAAGCAGTGAAGCTGGAGGTGTATAATATCAAAACAATGAAAATACGAGAGGTGGAGGTGATCCCCAGTAACATGTGGGGAGGACAAGGCCTTCTTGGAGCCAGTGTGAGGTTCTGCAGCTTCCAGGGAGCCAATGAACACGTGTGGCATGTTTTGGTGAGACAGAGATCTTTGATGGCTCTTTAGTGTTCATACAACTTTGTTTTAAAGTGTAATGTGGAGAAGGAACTTGTATGTAGAGTGCTGAAATCACATAGAGGAAGGGAACAGAGTTCTGCAGGTTTGTCTGAGCTAACTGAGTAGGGACAAGGAGTGGGTGACTGTCAGTGTTGGCTGTCACAGTGACAAAAATAACTCCATCCCAACTGGATCAAACTGAATAGGAGGGTTTTTTTAATCTTGAAGATTCAATGGCAAAAGCAAAAAGATTCAGGCCTGATTGGTGTCTCTGCATTGACTAAACTTCATTAAACTTCATATTAATGTTACAAAAGGCACCAAAAATTTATTTTAAGAAGGGAAGCTGGAAGCATAGAACTGAGTGGGAAAGAATGTTATATTTCTGGTTGTTTAAATAAATGCTATTTCTCACCTTCTTCAGAGTATCTAATTTTGAATTAGTAGCATCTTGGTCTTTCTTACTCAGCTTGTTTTACAAAATGTCACACCTAGATGTAGACTGTTCAAGGGCTTCTATTTTTTTCTATAAACAAAATGTTCTTCTGTTATTTCTGGAGTTATCTTTCATTTTTGATCTGGGGGTAGTTTGTCTTGCTGCGAGTGTAGATGACACACATCGTTCTTTCACAGGATGTTGAACCTGCATCTCCTGCAGCTCTGGCTGGTCTCCAGCCCTACACTGACTATGTAGTTGGATCTGATCAGATTCTCCAGGAGGTAGGGTGCATGTTCCTTCCAGTGGGGATTGATTGTCTCTGTGCCTGCCAAGTGTATGTTGTAGGGTTTGGCTTTATAAATCTAATCAAACGTATGGGGATGGTGTTTGGGGATTTCTGGAGGTTGTTTATGACAGATGCTTCATTGTTGGGGTGAACATTATCTTGCTTTTTAATGTGACAATAAACAAAAAGTTGCCTCTAAAGATCAAACTACACTGGTGAGTTTGAATCTGTGGGTTTTAATATCTTACATTGAAGTAAATAACTACATAAAGTGCTGACTTGCTGCCAGCTCATTGTGTTGCACATTTGAGTTTAGTAACTACTACTTTTTTTTTCCATAGTCAGAGGATTTCTTTTCCCTGATTGAATCCCATGAAGGGAAGCCGCTGAAGCTGATGGTTTATAACACTGAAGCAGATTCCATTCGAGAGGTAGTTGTGACTCCCAATGGAGCTTGGGGTGGAGAAGGAAGGTACTGATCTCTGGACAGTCACTGCTGCTGACAGGTTATATACTTGCTGTAAATGAGCTCCTGTTAAGAGTATTATTACTATCAATTGCAGCTTGTTTCCTTACCCTTGTCACACAAAACTGTTTCTCTTTCCATAAAAAAATAGCTTAGAACTTAGGAACTGGACATGTTCTGGATTTAATCCTGTTTTAGTTAAATCAAATGGCAGAAAAACTCTGTGTTGAGTTCCCCATTAGCAGATTCACTAGCTGCATTCTCGTAGTCAAACATTCAGTTAAAGCAAGAACAAAACCCACCTCAGGTCACATGGTATATTTTGTAGAGATATAAATACAATTCACTAAAACCTAAGCTGTGTACATCTAAAAGTCTGTGGCAGAAGTGACATCATTCTTGCAGGTATGCATTTACTGCTGTAAAGATATAAACTCTCTTTGTTTTAAAGAGTCAAAATTTAAAACACCAGTTTTGTTAAGAGCACCTCTTTTTTTAAAGTCTTGTTTTATTACTCTTGTACAGCTTAGGATGTGGTATTGGATATGGCTACTTGCACAGAATTCCAACACAGTCCATAGCATCAAAGAAAAAAACAGAAAGCAAACCACCTTCACCCTCACCAGAAGCTGGAACTCCTGTGCCATCCACTAATGGTTATACAGAGGTAGGCAAGAAATAAATTCCTATCTCTGGAGTTTCAAAATATTCTAATTGATGGAACATTGGCAATACAAGATATATTTGAGTGCAGTGTTCAGTTTTGCTTGAATGAAATGGAGTTGAGTGAAGGGAAAGTGAGAGCTGATGATGCTGAGCAGATGTCAAATCACCAGAGTTGGCTGATAGAAGTTCTTACCAGAGATTTGCTTCCTATTTTGAAGATTTCCAGATTGGATACTGCAGCTCTACCAGGCAAAGAGAATCACGTCAGAAGAACACCTACCTCACTAGGAAAAAAATACACTTACAAGAACTAAACAAGGACTGTCTTCTGGCTTTAAAAGGCTGAATTGGAACATGTCCTAACTGGTGTTTGACTTTGTTTCAGCATTACAAGTTCTCTCTGAACTGGTGTATGTGGAGACAGGTCTGGTGCTTTCAGAGGAATCTTGTCTGCAGGTGAAGCTTTCAATGTAAAAAGATGCTTTTCCTTCTTACTGTCTTACTCCAGACTCCATTATTGGCACCTACCTCCCAGAGTGACACCTCTGAAACAGTTATGAACTTGGATCGTTCCACAGGTCAAGAAATCAGTGGTTATTCACCAGAAAGCTCACTGTCCCCTCCTCCCCCTCTCCAGAGAGTTATGGATCCAGGTATACTTTCTCAGGTGTTTTTTCAGCAGTTCTTTAGACGATAGGTCTGTAAACTACTAGTGTCTTAAACAAGCTGCAGACTTAAATGCAGAACTGTGAGCATTAGTGATAGTTTTCTTTGAAGTTTCTGACTTCCCTGGATCTCAGAGCTGTAGAATTTGGGTACCATATGAATTAAGTGTATATTTAGGAGGGAGGGAACTTCACTGACCTCAGTCTGGATAGAACACATCTTTTTGAATGTATAATTTTGTATTATGTCTAAAACAACAATGTAAAATTTGCTTTCTCGTTCAGGATTTCTAGATATGTCTGGCATTTCATTTTCTGAACTTGGCAGCTTAACAGAAGTCTCCAACATGCCTCCATCTGCCTCCTTCAGCATGCCACCAGCAGCTGCTTCTGTGGGCCCTGAAAAGTTCATGGCGAACAGTGAAGCCTCTGCTCATTTTGGTAAGTGCATTCAAGATTTCCTTTAGCCCTCTGACCTAATTTCTGGAGTGGCACCAACTTATGCCTGCCTGCTCAGCATTATCATACATTTTGGAAATAAGTGAATTTTAATAAAAGTCAGAAAGGAAAGTAGCTGAAATGAGCTGGAAAAAGTAGCAGAAATCAGGTATAGGAATGGACAAAAACTAATGGGCTTTTTGCTAAGTTTATAGAATGTGTCTTGTTCTTTAAATGAAAATCCAGATTAAACTCACCTTAAAAGTAGGTATTTCTACATAAGGGTAAATGAAGTTTTGTACCCCAGGCTTGTCTTCACAGTTGTAAAGTGAAAACAAAGTTGTAGTCATCTTAATAGTGACACTTTGTGGTGGGTTGACCCTGGCTGAACTCAGCTGCCCACCAAGTCCTCTGTCACTCTCCCTCCTCAGCTGGGCAGGTGAGAGAAAGTACAGGGAAAGGTTTGTGGGTCAGGATAAGGTCAGGGAGAGATCACTCACCTGTTAACTGGCACAGGCAAAAGAGACTCAACTTGGGGAAATCAGTTTAATTTATTATCAATCAAATCAGAGAATAAAAATCTTTAAAACACCTTCTCCTCACCCCTCTCTTCCTGGGCTCAACTTTACTCACAAATTCTCCACCTCCTCCCTGGCAGAGGTACAGGGGGACTGGGAATGGGGCTGCAGTCAGTTCATCACATGTCTTTGCTGCTCCTTCCTCCTCAGGGGGACTCCTCACCCTCTTCCCCTGCTCCAGCGTGGGGTTCCTTCCATGGCAGATCCAGCTTCTTCAGCATGGATCCCCTATGGGCTGCAGTTCTTCAGGAGCTGTTCCAGCACGAAGTCCCTTCCATGGGGTGCAGTCCTGGAGCCATGGGCATTGGCTCCATCAGACGTGGGGGAAGCTTCTGGCAGCTTCTCACAAGCCACCCTGGTAGCCCCCCACTACCAAACCCTGGCCATGCAAACCCAATGCACTCTTCTATTTAAAAAAAAAAAGTCTTTACATGATGGACTCTTCCCTTCTGAAGGGTGGTGTGACAAAGAGTTGCAACACAAAACAAGCATAAGAATACAGCAGATCTGTTAAGAAAACTGTGTGCACCATCAGATTTTCTGGACCGGGGAGAGAACTGAGTAAATGCAGCCCATGTATGTGACAGTTGTGAGTCTGGTTATGTGCTTGTACAAGGTGTGTCATTCAGGCTGATTTTGCTAGGTGTAGGGTAACCAGAGGTATTGTCTGTTACCTTGGCAGTTTTTGTTTTCTTACAAACTATTTCCGTTTCCCAGAACATGGCACAGCTTTGGCCCCTGAAGATACAACTCTCTATTCCGAAGGCTCAGTCAAGCAGCCTGAGTTGGACAACCTACTGCCCTCAATTCCATCTTTACCTTCTTTTACTCTTCCTAATGAAATTTCTTCAACAACAACAACACTAGGAACTGATCCTGATGACCAGGAATCAAAGCTGTTTGTGAACAGCACTGAGAGCTCATTAACCATTGCTCCAGGGAAACCAGAGGATGAAGCAGCAACTGAACAGAAAGGAGAAACATCTGCACAAGATCCTGAGTGAAATGGACACTGCTTGTGTTTATAGACAGCTGAATGCTGCAGGGCTACAGCTTGGAATATTTTTCTGATCTTAAAAGAATTAGTTACTCGATTTTGTTAGTGTAGACAATACTATAACAGAAATCATATGAAGAACATACCCTGTTGTCTTTTTCAGCCATTGTTTAATGGATTGATCTGTGTTCAGTCTTTGAATGCTGTCCAAAATCACCAAATTAATGGAGAAATTAATGCAGAAAGAAGTTGGAGACTGGCAAAACATCAAGTTCTGGGATGCACATTTGCCTACAAATGCTCCTGAATGTATTTATGAAGGCACTGGGCCTGGACAGTGACTCTTACTGATGATTTTATCAGTATGTTTGATGGCATTAAAAATATAGTTTTGACTTGTTAGAAATATTTTCTAATGGTACATCTGGGTTAGACAGTCCTTGTGACTTGCAAGCCTTTTCTTACCCTATTTCTTTGATTTCTACTTACTACTCTGCAAACTGTAATTTTTCTTGTTTTAAGTCCGTTCTCTACAACTACTCTGTCAGGAAAGGAAGAACCATGTGGTCTGAAGTTGCAGCACAGAGATGACAGTCACATTGGTGGGTTCTGTCATTCACCTCTGCTCCTCAGTGGACCAGGTGCTGATCTCACAGTTAGGAAAGGGATGGGAGTCATAGTGGTTATTTGAGACAAACTGGTCAAAGGTGATTTTTAAGTTGGGGTGATTAACCTTTTCACTGAAGCTGAATATGACTTGGTTTCTGGAGTGACAGAAAGAGCTTTTTTTTTAGTTGTGCTTTTCTATTTACCCATTTCTATTTTTATACAAATTATTGTAAGTTTAAAAACATGGGGATGGAATGTGTTAGTGCAGCAATTGCTTTTTGTAGCTTATTTTGTGTTTGCACTTGTCTTCAAATAGCTTTGGAATGTAACAGCAAACAGGACATGAACAATGGAAGATTTGTGAGTGATTCTAAAACCCTCAGGGCAGTGATTTGTCCTGGAATTTCAAAGATGCTGATTGGGAACAATACAGTTAGTGTGGTGAGAATCCTTTGTAAATTAAAAGAATGAGGTACCAGGCTGAGGTGTATTTAAGCTATAAACTAAATTACACTTATTTAGCACAATAATGCCAGATTTCCTTTTCCCTGCCCTGTGTCCTGCTCTGTTTCAGCCCTGTGCCTGTGCAGATCCAGAGTGACAACGGACTGGGCTGAAATCTGGTACTGATGCAGGAGAGGGGAGTTGGGATCTCACAGCCATAGGGTGCAGGTGAAATCACAGCACAACATTTGGTTGAGTCCACCCTGACATAAAATCTGTCCTTGATATTCCGTATCTCTGTTGTTAGTCTGAAATACTGCAAGTACAGTAGTTCCAGACAGGATTGTCAAAATAGCTGGTGCTTTAAAGAATGTATTGAGCCCTAACTGCAGGCAGTGGAATCAAGAGATTTGGACTCTAGTCTGCTAAATGCTCTGTTAATAGCAAACTGATTTTATTTTGTATATTGCTAAAATAAATTTCCCCTTCCCCCAACTGACTGTTACAAGGGTGAGCAGCAAAACACTAAAAATAAATGTAATTTAAACTATGAGTACGTTTGGTCTCAGAGCCTCGAGACTGAAGACACTTAGGCGATCTGTTATTTGCTGTTGTTTTAGATTCCACCTTTCTCAGAACTGGTTTTAAGCTGGTGGTAGCTCATTTAAATGATGCTGTACCATAGCTCTTTAGAAATTTAAGAGCAGGGAATGTCAAAACTCGTACTAAATTTCAAATGTCACCATAATAAATGGCTTAAACTCCTGTCAGTCTGTGTCCAGCGTCTGTGTGCTAATTGGCTCTTGGCAGGGGAGTAGAAAACCACATGGAGAATTAAACCTGAAGCAGCAGGATGTTGTGTTCTCCTAACCTGTAACTTGGTCACTCAATTGGTAAGGAGTTCAACCTTGTCAAATACATTTTCTCATGACAATTTGGATGCTACATCTCTGCTGCAGCCAAGAGAAGTAGAAAGTATCTTACTCATGGGTGCACAAGTGAGAAAGCTGATTAGAATGTGTTAGTTTCAAATAAAACTTAAAACATGGGAAGGAGCACCCGAGAGTGGATCCAGCTCTCCTGGAGATGCAGCTCTCCTGCCCTGCCTTCCTGCTGTCAGCAGGAGAGCCATTCCCTCTGGAACCATGTGCTGCAGACCCAGCTGGAGCTTCTGTGACTATCTCATTGCTGTCACCTCCTTAAGTTGAGGAAAATTCAGGTAGGGATTGACCAGGTGCTATTGCTGAAAGGGATGTACTTCATACAGTGAGTTCTGACATAATAAAGGTGATATTTTGTGTTGGTCTGAAACAGACTGGCTGTGGCAGACAGAGTCATCTTCGAACAAAAGGGCTTGAATGGTCCTACTCTTGTATTTGAAACAAGGCCAAATCCCAAAAAAGCCAACTCCCAATAAAGCCAAACAATCTGGTGCTGTCCCAAACATCTGTTTCCAGATAAGTAGGAGCTGGATATAACCTTTCTCCTGCTCTGTGAACTCTGAGGACATCTCTAAACCCGACAGCAGCAGTTCTCTTGCAGACATGGATTTTCTTGGCAGTACCACCCAGAGAACAAAACAAAGGGAAGAGAATGTCACCTCAGAGCACTCTGTACTCACATCAGATCACCACAGAGTGGTTTGGTCATGCCAGACACAACAGGATAAGCTTCCAGACCTGAGCTGCTCCCTAATATTAATAGTTGAGCCTGAGGACACAAGTCTGGCAGATGATAAATCCAAAGAGGCTCCCAGGAGCTCAAGTATTACAGCAGAGATTAGGCAAAGCCATCTTCCCTGAGCTGTGCCCCTGCCAACCCTGAGGAGATGGAGCACCTAGGACTGATGGGGTTGAACTAGGATGGGCTTTTTGAGGCTATGGGACTTCCACCCACCTGGATACTCAAAACTTTGCCCGACAAAGGCTGGAGAAACTTGGTCAAAGGCTTACTTGAGCAGGCTGGACCAAGCCCTCCCTTCCCATGGAATTACCTGATTTGTGGGAACTTTGGACAGTATAACAACCCTGTGCTGGGAATGATTGTAACCCCTCAAAATGTGATAAGGAAATAGTATCTCAGAGACAAACATGCAAATCTCATTATTAGTAGCAATATGGATGCTGAACTAATTCTGGCTGAACTTGAATGAGTGAACTAATGTATTTAGTACCTTTCAGTTGAACAGCTACTGGCAAGAACTGCTGAAACACTAAATTCAGGCAGTGATGACTTTGTTTTCCCTCTTGAACTTTCACAGCAGCCTTGATAATCTACTGCATCTCCTGCTGTACTGCTCTAGGCTCTGTGCAGAGGCTGCTCATCCAAGTTGTCACACTTGGTTGAGCTCTTAGCTGTAACTCAGAAACGCCACAGGAAAATACATCTCTGCAATGTTCACATTGTGTACTGATGGGCTCACGCATTTCCAGATGTTTTCTCCTTCTTCCCCCCAAAATGGGTAAGTATTATCACTGCCTCTGGCTGTCAACTGAAAGCAGCTACAGGTTACACTCATCGCATGGATTTGACTGTGTTAATCTCTTCCATTTCCTGGGTACTGCCACTAATGCCTACACATCCTCCCACTTGGCTTTTGCCTTAAGCAAACACTAAGTGGCATTGGTTCTGCTGTAACAGAATTACAAAGCAATTGTTTGCTTCAAATTATATTTCTAAGCTGCAAAAAACAATTAACTATTCACAGTCCCATGAAAAAGATGGTCAAAACACTGTCAAAATATCCTGAGAGAGAGAGAGAGCAGGTATGTCCTACCCTCTGCCTACAGACTGGTCTCCAATCAGTACCTGTGTTCTGTATGATGTTTGCAGAGCTGCTTACAGAGAAACCTCCATCATAGTACAGGAAACTATTTAAATCAATCCTTTTCTTGATATGTAAGTACTGGTGTGCTCCTGACACCTGTTACCTAGCTGGGAGGTGACTCCACCTGGCTCTGTCTGGGAGCCAGCAATACACCTACAGTGTAAGATCACATGCTTAAAGATTTCTGCTAAATATCAAGTTCAAGGAATTTCTAGAGATAAAGTTTGAATCAAACACGACCTTTGTGAAAGGAAAAGTAACACCTTGGTATAAAGTACTGGCCAAAATCTGAAGCACTGTAACTGGATTTAACCCATTAACAGTCACTCTGTGCCTTCACCTTTGGCAAACATTCTCTGCCCTTCCCTGGCACCTCCACACTAACTCAACTCAGCAAACTGACCTCTGCAACGTCCCTCTCTCCCCTGACTCGGCAACTCTGGGATCAACATATCACACAGACACCTACATTTCAGCTTTTGTGACCTGAACCTCAGGACAGCAGTTCTCTGAACAGCTCTCCACACTGCCCAAGACTGAACTGTCAGTCCCTGGTTGTCCCTCTCCCATGGAATGTGGGCAATCCAGCTAATAAATCCCAAGACCAATACACAGAACTACATTATCACAGAATGGCTTAGGTTGGAAGGAACCATGAAGACCATCTAGTTCCAAATCCCCTGTTATGGGCAGGGACACCTCCCACTAGATCAGGTTGCTCAGAGCCCAGTCCAGCCTGGCCTTTAACACTTCCAGGGATGAGGACTTCACAACATCTCTGTCTAGGGCTTATTTTGAGTATTTTTTTAGTGTTTCTAAAAGTTACTTCTAAGTCCTCCAAGTAGTTCTCTTCTTAAGATGATACTTGTACTTCAGCTACAAGCACTGAGCTGAGCTCTCCTGTTCTCAGCACTACACTACCTGAAGAAAATAAAAAACTGCCTGTCAGAAACAAAAATTAATGCTTTCCTGGATGACAGGCTACATTACTAAATACAAGATTTACGATTCCTTCCCATTATGAACTTGGAAATTAAAATAACTTCTACAAATCAGCAGCCTCTTCTCTGATTCCAGCAACCTGGAACTCTGTTCACAAAGTCCTCAAGAGCTGCAATTCTTGTTAT